GTGCGTCTCGGCCCGCGGCTCCGGCGGCAGCTCCCGGCTCCGGTGGCTCGTCCTGGCTGCCCTGGGCCACGCTGCCGGGGACGCTCAGCCCGGTGAGAGCATCCTTGCCGGGCCCTGGCAGGGCGCAGGGCTGCAGGAGGTGGTCCCGGTAGAGGCTGAACATGGAGTGCTTCAGCTCATGCAGCTCTTTGGTGCTGGCCGCCAGGGTCTGCACCTCGAAGGTCATCTCGAAGCGGCTGTAGTCCACCCGGAAGGCGCCTTTCTCCAGCGACATGCAGGGCTCGAAGCGGTACCCCCAGAGGGTCTCGTCTGCAGCGTACGAGGTGTGGGCTTGGCACGTCATTCCTGCGGGGAGACAACTGCTGAGCCGCCACCGCTGCTGCCGGTGGGCAGAGCGCCATGCTGCTGCAGTGAACCCCCCACTGCCTAATGAGGGGCTTCCAGCCCTGGGTCACCCATTGTCGGGGAGGAGCCGGTTTCGGCCCCGGGCACCTCTTGCCAGGATGCCAGCCCCGAGCCCAGGTTTGCCCGGCATTGCCGGGACCTCAAGGGAGCTGCCCGTCCCCACCCCGACCCCCGTGGACCACTTGCCTGTGGCTTCCACGATGCCCTCGAGGATGATGATGATTTTGAACTGCTCCCAGTGCAGCGAGTCGGCCGACATGTCCCAGAAGGGGCTGCGGTGGTTGATGATGTGGCAGATGATCTGGGGCTCCACCAGGAACAGGTGGTCCTCCCCCGTGTCGTAGCCCAGGTTCAGCTCCGACTGCTCCAGGGGGATGAACTCCCCCTTGGCTGTCTGCCGGGACTTGATCAGCTTGGCCCGGATCTTGGCGTCCACCATGTGGCTGTCCTGCAGGTCCCCCATGCGAAACATCAGGCAGAGCTTTTCATCCCGGCGGGAGATGACACAGTTCTTGCTGAAGATGAGGGTCTGGGCACACTTCTTGGGCCGGGAGATCTTGACGAACATGCAGCCCACCATCAGGGCGTCGATCATGGAGCCGACGATGGACCGTGCCATCAGCAGGATGATGCCCTTGGTGCAGTTGGCCGTCACCATCTGGGAGCCGTAGCCGATGGTCTGCTGGCTTTCCACTGAGAAAAGCAAGGCGGAGACGAAGCTGTCCACGTTCTTGATGCACGCCCGCCACTCGGGATCGCCCCGGTGCCTGATGTCACACCCCGCCCAGGCGTTGAAGAAGTAGACGGTGCCGAAGACCACCCAGGTGACGATGCAGCACATCATGAAGATGAACCAGCGGTACTTGAGGTCCACGATGGTGGTGAAGATGTCTGAGAGGAACCTCTTCTTCTCCTGGATGTTGCCCAGGTTCACCTGGCACTTGCCCACCTTCGTCACGTAGCACTGCCGCTTGCTGGCCTGGACCACGGGGCCATCCTCCTCCAGCAGCTTGCGGCACCGGCCCTGCAGCCCCTCCGGGGTGGGGGTCTTGCCACCTGCTGAGACAGGGATGTTGGGCATGCTCAGCGAGTGCAGCGGGTACCAGCGGGCGCCCGCCTCCCGTGGGGCGGCTGGCAGGCACCGGGATGGATTGCCAGGATGGTGCTGGGCGGCCATGCTGCCGCAGCTCGGTGGTGGGGACGGCTTGCTGGGGACGATGCTGCCGCGGCGGGGTGGGGATGGGTAGTTTGGCACCAGGGTGCTTTGCTTGGCAGCAACAGCACTGGCTTGCTGCCGGCCGTCCTCTGCCAGAGCCCTGGGGGCGGCCGGGAGTTCGGGCTGCAGGATGGAAAGGAGCCTGTCGGTGAGAAATCGCCTCCAACAACCACGACTGCCTGGTGGCATCCCGTCCGAAGGATGCCCGAGAGCCTCGGTGCGAGCCATACCTTCTGGGGGAAGGTGCCGTACCGGCTGGTGTTGGTGGGTGGCTGGGGCAGGTAAGCCAGCACGTGCTTGGCGGTGGGGGTCTGCGCCGGGGGGATGGAGTTGCTGCGGCCGTGTGGCTCCTCACGCACCCGCCGATGAGGACAAACCTCCCTCAGGGTCCTCGGCCCCGCGCAGGGGAACCATGGCAGTGCCGGGGCAGGGGCTCAGCCCCAGGTGGGGTGCAGGGTCCCGCCGTGGGGGACACAAAGCGGGGGGGTTATTTTGGATGTGGAGGGCAGCGCAGGGCTCCCACCTCTGTCCACAACCCCACAGGTCGGGGTCCAGCGGGGCTGCCCTCGCCCGGCAGCGCATGTGCCAGCTGCGGAGCTGTGCTGGGGCAGCTACGGGGTGGCACCAGATGGCTAAGCCCATTAGGGGCCATAATTGCATTGCAGAGGCCGGGGAATGAGGTGGCCATCTCCAGTGGGGAGCAGCCCTGGCAGTGGGCAAGCTCTGGGTGATCGCCCACAGCTGTGCTCCACGCCCACCCCGGGACATGGTCATATTTGCCAGCTCCCTAACAAGCTCCGAGCAGGAACGGGTGGCCCCTGGATGCAGGAGGAAGGACAGCCCGCACCGGAGACACATACCCCATAGCTGGGCTCCTTGGGACAGGCTTGGCTCCACCTGGGTCCCCACAGGGAGATGCGGTGGGAGGTCACATTCCTGGAAATGCAACCTGGAGAGCAGCAACCCACGGGGATGGAGATGGGGAGCATGGGCACTCTGCCTCCTCCGAGCATCTCCTGCCGCCGCAAAGCAGCAGGACCAGTGGTCCTTGGCGCAGCAATGGAGGATATCAGCCTCCGGACCGACCTCCAGGCCCCGTGCAGACCCCTGGGCGAGGGGGGTACCCACCTCATGTCCAGGTGGAGCGGGTGCCAGGCTGGCAGATGTCGTCCTCGGCTCGTGGCTCGTGGCTCTCCCGTGGGGGGGAACCCTCCGCTGGGCTGAGCTGCCGCAGCCGGGCAGCCGGCGCAGCCGGTGGGAGGGAAGGATGGGGAGCTCGGTGGCGGCCGCCAATCCTGCTCCAGCAGTAGATTAATGGGTGACATTCTGTCTCAATGACAAGCACAATTACCTCAAGATGATTTAATCGGAAGGAGCCGGTGCCCTGATGCCCCGGGGGAAGGAGCAGGAGAGGATTCCCAATGGATTTCCCTGCTCTTGGCCTCGGGATGATGCTCCCCGTCCGCTCTTGGGGACGGGACCATCAGTAAGGGCTGGAAAACATCGTCCCTCTCCTGCCCAGTTTGTGCTCCCTTGCCTCCTCCTTCCAGGAGCCCCCTGCGAAGGTCCCCTCCGATGCTCACCGTGGCCAGACCCCTGGCGCCAGGAGGACTCAGTAATTTACCAGCCTGGCCCCCGATACCCCCCTTGATAAGAAAGAATGGCAGATGAAGGAGAGATTAGTCGCTAATCTCCCAGGGAAGATGAATCTGCAAGCTGGACCCCGCAGAGGGGACGTGTGCGGGGACGGATGGGAGCCGAGCCCCAGCACAAAGTTAGGATTTTCCTGATGGTGAGGCCCACCATCCTTTTTTTTTTCCCCCACCTTTTTTTTTTTTTTTTTTAACAGGTTTTTTTCTCCC